TTTTTTATAGGGGTGCACTTTCTTTATCACATGACTACAACTTTTGCCCTCTATCATGACAAAAGACATTTAACAGATAAGATTTCTTATTGAAATCATTTTTGTGCATCTCTTCATTCCTCAGAGTTTAAAGGAGGGCCTTTCTGTCCAAGAAAGGATGAAGCTGTTCGAGTCATTCTGATCCAGAGAAGATGACCAGCTGACATCTGCACTTCAGAGCTTTTCAGAAATCTGTCTTATTATAACCTTTTCGTGTGTTGAATGATCAGAACAGGACACTAGAGGGCGCAACAAACACAGGTCATTTTACACATGCATTCAGTGCATTACACAGAGGTTTTGTAACTTATAGACAAACTGTATTTTTATTGAAACACAGCTCACATAAGCGTTTTGGATCACTTGTATTTGACATTATAGGCCACATAACACAACATTTACCCTTCCAGCAGAGGAAATACATTCCTGAAAGAGAAGAGATGCTACTGTACTTTTATTACTTTCTGAACCTTCATATTTATTCGAAACAGCTGCTTTATGACTTGAAATAAATGAGCTTTCAAGTAAAACAAGGTTGGTCAAAAATAATGTGGATCTCTGTTTTCTTATTTTTTAAAAAACCATTAACTAAAGTCAGTGTTTCTGTGCTTGTTTTGATTTTTCCTACAAACAAAACAACACTGACTGGATTTCACACAATGTACACAATCTTACACTTTCAGGAAGAAAAAAGGGCTTTAAAATCATAATTACCCTCCAAAAGGAAGAAAAACAGTTTAGAATAGGGTAATATCATTTAACATAATCTCTGGTAATGAAAGGAGGAAAGGGAAGCATGGTTTCCTTGTATGATCTGTTAAACAGTACACCAAAGCACAGTGTTTACACCTTACTATAATTTGTTGCTTATATATTGCTCAGATCTTATGTGTCTCCTTGTCTATCTGACTTACCTCTTGTGACAACGACACATTATCTATTTTTGAGTATCGCTGTGTTATGACAGCTGAACTAAAACTATTAGTCACTTATAATCAGTGAATTTGTTGATTTTATCAGTGATTTATTAAATTGTTTGATCAATCAGAAAAAAAGAAAATGATGGCCTTAAACAGACAAATTAAAACAAGTGGAGAGCAATAACGATTTACTTATATTTAACTGATGTAAAGTACAACCCAATTTTTTTAATTTAAAAAAAAATGAAGCCTCAATGAGCCTAAATGAGCCTCAGCTCAGAGAAGACTGCAGTGTTTCTGCATCATGTACAAATATGGCCTCTTCTTTGCATGATTTCAATGACAAAATCAAACCTGGTTTTTATAGAGTGCTCTCGAAATCAAAAGCATCTAATATTGATTTTCAGCCTTGTCCTTTATGTACAGAGATTTCTCCAGATTCTCTGAATATTTTCATGATATGTGCTGTACTGATGATGACACATTCAAAGTCACTGTAATCTTACATTGAGACACATTATTCCATATATAATGTTCCATAATTTATAGATGTATGTTTTTTTGCAGTTTAATGAAACTCTGCCTCTCTTAAGACGGTCTTTTTTATACCCAATCACTAATTTAACCTAATGATCCTCAAACTTCCTCATACTGCTGAATTTTTTTTTTACCACCACTTAATTTTCCAGCCGATTTTCCCAGTCCTGTCACAACATTTTAGAGGCGTGTTATTACCATCGAATTAAAAATTACCCACTTAAACATTTAAACTTCTAATGAGATTTCATTGCATTATGTTTTTATTTACGTTCTTACACACAGTGTCCAAACCTAAACAGAAACCATTACAGGCGTCTGACCTCAGCATGTAAAATGTGACTCTAGTGATCTTATAATGTTACCTGGAAACTGCCCCTTGAGGACAAATGAAGCAAAAAAATAAAGTTAACTGAACTCATTTTACATTGAGGCCCACATACAGACCACTTTAAACTTAAGTGGACTGGATGAGTGAAATTCCACTTCCTGTCAGTGAAAAGACATTTAACTACATATTCAATAAATTATAATGTCCTAATATAAGGCAAGGCAAGGCAATTTTATTTGTATAGCACACTTTCAGCACAAGGCAAATCAAGGTGCTTATAATATAAGATAAAGAAGTATAATTTCAACAGCATGTCTCAGTTTTTCCGTATGATAAATGTTTGAAACACAGAAAACACTCTGGTAGCTCAATGGCCAGACTCTTCCATATTTATAAAACAAAGTTTTAGTTGATTGATGATTTTTTTTTTCTAAGCAAAATTTAGTATACAATTAAAAAAAGGAACTTTTGTGTCATTTAATTGTTTATCTGTTGATTAACTATTTCGATGTAGTGAGAATGACTGAGGGGAAGCTAAGTATCAGGAGGAAAAGCTGTAAAACTTGTAAAAATAAATTTAAAAGTCCAAAAATTTATGCCCTCCTTTATATTTTCAAATTGAAGTCTTAGCTGGGCTACCTCTGCCGGGCATCTGCTATAAGTCTGGATCAGGCAACATAGCATACATTACTCCAGAACAAAAAAAAATCTTTCCAAAGCATAAAAAAGTTGACTAGATTTTATGTTTATGCAGAAATGTTCATTTAACTACTCACAGGACATCCCGTGCGTAGATATAGCCGAGCTGTCAGGGTGACAGGATGAAGCCAGGGTGTCTGGTCACCAAAAACCTGCTGCTGCACAGCTCAGGATCAAACTGTGTGTCTCTTCCAAGGTAGAAACAGTCTTCTAATTACTTCTAAAATAACTGTCTTACTAAACAGACTTGGTTCATATTACTCAAACACAGCTCAGATACCTCCCGAAGATTTATGTATGCTAAAATGTATTTATTAATTAATTAGTGTAATCAGCAGAGCATTTATAAGTGCTTTTTAAAACATGTTTTTAAGCTTTATTTTTGGGAAACACTGACCCACATCTCCAGAGATCAAATGTCTGTCTATGTCACAGCTCTCAGTGCTTTTGCAGAGCACATAACTTTGAAGGTACCCTGTTCTTTGGAGTCGCATTTCCAAAAAGGAACATCGCACCTCATTAAAACCCAACACCCATCTTTCCTTCCCAGCCTGTGAAACTCCAGTCATGGTAGTTGACACTTTGACATACCAAAGCTGATTCTTTGTGTTATGCATCATGGATGTAATTTGTAAGCTGGTGTGTGAAAATCTATGTTCGTTTTATTTTTGGACACAAAGTAAGATTTTGTATCCTAAAGTGACAAATATGCTGTCTTACTGAAAAGTTAAGTATTTTCTGCAAATCTCATGCGGCATTTTAGCAAGTGCTGTTGGCAAAACTGATGGAATTGAATGCAGAAAAGTACCATCAGTTAAACATTAACTGAATTTCTTTGTAATTTAAGCATTTTATTCCAGATCTTAATGCCCCATTTCTTTTTGTATCAGCAGGGTGACAGAGTTCCTGGTATATATATATATTTTTTTGAGTTTATATTGCTGCATTAATTAAAGCTCGTAAAGTAGATAATTCACGACAGTTCTCTAAATACTTCTACATCTACTCAGTTTTCTTCTTTCGGCTGCCAAAGCAGATGATCTCCATGTTCTCCATCACTGTGGTCATCCTCTTTTCCTCCTGCTCTTTTCCTCTCCACGTGTCCAAACCACCTCGGCTTTGCCCCTCGAACTTTGTCTCCAGGGCTGAACCTGAGCTGTCCCTCTGATGCATTCATTCCTAATCTTCTCCATCCTCATCATTCAGAACAGTTACTAGACACCCAGTGTCAACCAAGAACTGAATTTAAATACAAAACCTGTTTAGAAATCATTCTTCATGGCAATAAAACCATTACCATGTACTTTTTAAAATGATCCTCTCTTTAAATAACTATGTAAAATGTATTCAAATTGCTACATCAGAGTAATAGTGACTGGAAAACATAAAGTTTCCTCACTGTATTTGTGTGTATGTGTTTTCATGTGCACCTGCAGGGTTTGTTCTTAGTCCTGCCCCACAAACTCACCAGGCCCTCATGACTGATCAGCAACTGGTGAAGAAACACCAGTACACAGGTGCACCTGCTCGAGCTGTAAAAATAAGTGGCCCATTTAGCCATGCAAAGATCAATTACCGCAACTGGCTCAGAGACCTGCACAGTCCGCTTCTCCAGTGATACACTCCAGTGCTGCTGATGGGACCACGGCTTTGATTATTTGTGCGACAGGAGCCCAAGTTTGTGTTCTCAAATCGGCACAGAGCTGCGCAAACTTCATTCCCACTTTGATTTGAACCACACTGTTATAAAATCAGGTCTAGAGGCGTGTGACCTACATGCAACTTAACTCAAACTCGTCAGTGTTTCCATGACAATGGAAAAATCCTTCGTTGTTCACCTGAGAATATCAGCCTTGGGACCAGAGATGGTGATGCGGCTGATGGGTGTTTGTGCTGTAAGGAAAATATACCAACAACAAACTAAACAAGTTTGGTTCATGAGATCTGTTTGTGATCTGACAGACCAGACCGTGGTTTATTTATTTATTTATTTTATATCTAATGACTGATGGAAATAATGTGATTTTAAAAAAGTCCACACTCTTTCATTATTCACTTGTATAAGGCAGAATAAGGGAAACAAAGATTTAATTAGGCTTTTGACTGAGTACAGTAAAGAGTGACCTGGATTCAACCTCCAGTGTGGAGCTATCATTGCCTCTATGTGTTACTGGAACTGAGAGTGCTTTATTATTATGTTCATTATGCAGGTCTGAAGCACATTCACTAACTGGAACAGGGAGGTTGGAGAACAGCTACTTTCATGCATCATGCATCTTGTGTATGTTCAGCTTTTTGTTTCTGTCGATTGGGTGAACAACGCCTCTCTTCCCCACTCACGAACAGTTTGTGTTGGCTGCCAACAGATATTTTGTACTGCATCTCATCCTTCATGTTTGTTCTCTCTCTTCCTTGATCAATGCTGCATGAAACAAGCTTGTCTTGGAGCTTTGCAAAGTTTACACCCTAACTACTCTGACTTTGTTTCTCCCTGCTGTTTTTAACAAGGAGCACATTACAAGCTACCACCAGTACAGCAGTATAGAGTATTGCTGGGTTATTGCTGCGTAACAGCAGTAATAGTTTTGTTTAACGGAGCTTTGAGTAAAAACCGTGTGCCCTTATCCACACAGGGATAACCACAACATGGTGAAACACCTGAAATGAAAGCGTAGTGTGCTGATCAGCAATGAGCTGAGAATCTTAAAGGTGATCAAACACTTGTATGTTTATCAGTGCAGTCGAGCCTGGCCCACTTTATCCTGCTGCAGAGAAGGGCCCTTTAAATAACTCGCTGGGTATGAAGTATAGGCCGGGCACTGGACACACTTTGTCCTGATAGCACACTCCACATCCCCATCTGGGGCCGCCATCCCCTAACTGAACCCATAACCTATTTACAGGTCTGACATCATAGTAAGACTTCACAGTGTACATGTACAGTAATAATTAAGAGCACTTAGAGAGCTAAGATCTGTAGTGCTTGTGTTTGTCTGTAGTCTGGCCAATTCTTCATGAATGTTGTTGGTTTGGGGTTTTTTTGTGTGCATCATCTTGTATGCGAGGCAGTGAATCACATGCAAGATGCTTGCACCCAAAACAGATCCAGTGGGACTAACACTCACAAAGGTCAAATAGTATTTCCTATTATATTTAGAAAACTGATACCGAAGCCATCTCGCCTTCGCTTCCTTGCAGGCCATCATAGTGGCTTGTTGCACGTAAACTTTCCACGGATCCCGCTGCTCTGTGACGTTCTCCAGTGAGCCTGGGTTAGGCTAGCAGTGGAAAGATAATCCTGTTTTTGTCTTGTTTGAGAATTGCAAAGTGCTGGACAGCTACACACAGCTTGTAGATAACCCATGTTCAGTCCAACCATGCAATTTTTAACACACACACACACACGTAAATTGTGTTTAAATACATTACAATCACAATATTTGTAATTTTTTTTATATACTTGTACAAGTGCAAGTTTACCCCTGTGTTGCATCATCTTCCCTTTCAGTAGCAGTCTGCAAATTTTGTAGAACTTGGAGGAGCAGCTGCTGCGGTTTTGGAAGCCAAATGTTTTGCAGTTCTTGCATGTTATAAGATTTCAGCTGCCCAGCAGAGACGGGCTTCCTTTGCTCTGTTTTCTTTCATAATCTCTAAATGTTTTCACTTGCTCACTTCTGTGGACTACAGGCAGACTGCTGAGCCTTTCCCCCCAAAGAGCCACACTTTGTAATATGTGAAAATTCCAGTTTAGCAAATAAGTGAGGCCTTACCTGAAAAGATACCCTCTGGAAGCCAGCATATGTTGCTCTAAGATTTGCATATATTCAGTAATTAGACGTTCACATAGGTGCAGGCTATCACTGCCTTGGGCACTAATGCACCCCTCATAACATGCTGGCTTTTAACCTATAACCTCCACAGACTCTCCTCCTACAGAGGATGCAGCGACCAGAATTATCAGAATTTCAGATTTTCATTAGTCAGACCATAAGAGGTCATCCAGTCATAAAAGTCAGTGCT